TCTCGAGTGGGTCAGTTTGATAAAACAATATGCAATTAAAATTCACTTGCTAGTTTGAGTGCTATCATGTCATGCCAATAGAGAATATTGGTCATGCTGAATCGACTAAAATCATGATTTTGGATCCAGTTTCATGTCCCAGTTTTTGAAGGAATGAAATTCTGCAAGCCTTGTGACCGTATTGCGGCTTCCTTAAGTGGCAAATAACTGACCGATGCAAAATCAGCAAAATGTTCATTTGAATTGAAACTACAAACTTACCTATTTTGTTAGCACCAAATTGTCGTTGTTCAAATCTTACGGTCTTTGGAAACGAAACGCAGGACTTGATCGCGATGCGGTATATTTTGTAGTGAATCAGGCAAGATGACAAGACCGGAATCAGAAAATTTATCATGTTACTCACAAATAGATATATCCAAGAAAATGTGAAATGACAATATCCATTTTTGACTCTTTTTTGTTCCCCGATAGCTTTCGACGTGAAGACTGGGGTGAGCGCGAAAAGCATTGAGTAAATCCAAAGGATAATGGTGATGGCCATGACGCGTCGCTTGGTTATCAGTGGTGATAGCTTTAGATGATCGAGGGGGGTCTTAAGTTTAATGTATCTGTAAATACTCAAAGCCAAAAGGCTAAGAATAGAAGTAGGAACAGTGAGAAGGTATGCAGTGTTGAAAACATTACACATGATTTCTCCATGTCTCCATTCAGTGCTGTCTGAAACGATGAATTCCAGATCAAAGGGCATGACCGAACAGGTGGTCAAGAAATCCGAAACTGCGACGGATAATACGAAGCACGCGTCATTAGATTGCCGCAGAGGCCTGGTGCGTAGTATGACCAAAACAAACCAAGATGTTTGCCAGTAGAGACACAACAATGATTAGACCCAGAAGGGCTGAGAGCACGATTTTATATTCCATCCTGTGGAACGAAATATTGGGAGTGGCGGTTCAATTGCTTTCTCTTGAGTCATTCATGGTAGTCCCTACAAGAAATGAAGAGATGTTAACTCGAGTATTACGCTAGTTAATCGCCAGTGATGGCCAAGAGGGTCGCTTTTCGGGTCTTTTTTTTCAAGACTACCGACCAGCAAATTTGAAAAAGCTCGAAGGAGGCCGGTTTACCAAGTGTCTTTTCGTGGGGATTTAGGGCGTTTATGGCTCTTGCGATCGATGTACGATCGCGTATCAACTCGTCAGTTTTGTTCTATTTACCTACACTATTGAGTTTTCATAGAAGGACTGTGGCTTATCGATACAAAATTGTAAGGTTGTTTGTTGGGTTCTCTGTATTGCTAGGATTCGTCTTTTGCGTTTAATTTCCTCATTGTATTTTGAGAGGCTACGCGAGCACAGATTTTTTAACAGTCTATTCTATTCCTAAGCATTTAAAGTGGGCCGAACCTATTTATATGCGCGTTGGTTATGTTTTTGAATCGCGTTTTTCGGCAGGAAAGATTTAACCGATTTCTATGATTTTTGGCATCCTTAAAAAAAAAATGGTCGAAATGTAAGAAAATGTTATTTATCTTCTTGTAGGTATAAAAAAGTTTGAGATATATCGGCATATGTTTAAAACGGCATTTTTACAAAAAATGTCAATAACTTCGAAACCCTAAGATAGAATTTTCTCTAACTTCGGAAGGAATCCGAAAGTTTCGTACCCAGGCGCAGATACAAAAGGAGGTGAGACTTTTCATTAACATACAACTCAAAAGGACATGGTACTTACGAAATTAGCTTGTTCCCACTTTACGGCTGGGTCCAATTTATAGGTCGATCTTGGAACTTGTCGAATTATAAACTTTACAAAGTTCTGAAAGTTGTATTTTGTTACTTCATGCGCTTCACGCGATCCATTTCGTTAAGTCGTGCGCTTTCACGCGAGTCAGATCAAGAAAACCACCGCTCACTTTCTTTGTGTAGACTAGTGACGTGTGTGTGGACATGTGCCTAAACTAAAGAAGGTGAGACTTCTGCCATTAACACGTATCATTAAAAAAGACATTTTAATTAAGCAGACTCTTTAACGCTTTTTCTGAATTTTTTTTTTGCAGGATTCGGTTTTTTTTTTAAATTGACGTATCTTATCTTATCTTACCAAAAGATCCTGCCGTCGTCCCCTGCTGTAGAACAAGTGATGCTATCGCTCTTCAAATAGTCTTCGATTAGTCGACGTTCATACATGTAGCAAATTCGGACGTAAACAAACACATTTGTTCTTTGATCCTGCCCCGCATTCAGCATAAAGTCGTTCAGTCTTCTTGTATTGCAAATTATATCCGCCGTAGGTTTCTAATTACTCAGTTTCTTACGACTGAAGCTTTGGACAAGAATACTTTTGCAGATAGAAGACAGTCCGTTGGCAGTTTTCCTCTATTTGTGAGTCAACTTTCACGAATGTGTTAGCGAAAAATTAGACCAGCTGTTTGTGCATGGAGTTCTACGGTCATGATTGACTTCAAACTTGCAGATATAAAACTAGAGAACTTTGCAGCTTATTTGCTGAAGTAAGAGAAAAATCTATCTTAGGATTTTGACGTTATTGACATTTTTTGTAAAAATGCGGTTTTAAACATATGCCGATATATCTCAAACTTTTTTATACCTACAAGAAGATAAATAACATTTTCCTACATTTCGACCATTTTTTTTTTAAGGATGCCAAAAATCATAGAAATCGGTTAAATCTTCCCTGCCGAAAAACGCGATTCAAAAACATAACCAAAGCGAATATAAATAGGTTTAATTCGGGCCAGCTTAGTATTGTTGATGTTTTAACTAAAAGTACATACTCAAGTGAATTTCAGCCGCCTGAAATAACTGTGTGCTAACAAGTATCCAGTAAGCTACGTCCTTACCTTGCACCTTGCTTGGTCTCTTCTATTAAAGGGAGAAAAAAATGTTTCTTTTCTCTCTAGGATAACAGTATATGAAGAACAGGTGTAGGGGAAGCTATAGTATTTATAGGCATTGGCACCAACACTTAACACAGATGCTAATTTTTCTTTCTTTTTTTTTTTTTTTTTAATAACATTTATTGGTTGCAACACTTCTGATGACAATACTTACATTTACATGGAGGAAAAATAAAAACAACGTACAAGAGATAAAGAAAAAATACAGTGTTGCAGCATTTACAGCTAATTAAGCCTAAAAAAGTTTACAAAATTGATTACTATTTGCAAAATTGCAAAATAAAACACGATACAACAAAAACATAAGGAGTCTGTCCTACCAACTAAAAGGTGCTTTGCATTTGCATTTGTTTCTGCATCACTTTTAACTTTTGGAACTTTTGGAATTATTTAATAACAGCAAGTTTATTTGTCCGAGGGGCAAAGTTTAAGAGGGCTCCATTTGTTTTTGAAGGAGGACATATTGTTATTATTAGAGGCAATCTCTTTTTCAATTTCCATGGAGTTCATAACGGTTTGTATATAAACCTGTAGCGCAGGGTTGCAGTTATTTAACTTACATGTGTAAACATATCGTTTGGCGATAAGGAAAAGGTGATGTAGTAATAAATCAGATACATTATCAATTAGTCCAAGACAGATAAGAGGAGAGAAGGCAATAGATTTGTTTAAGGTGGCGTTTTGAGTTATCCATTGATAAATGTCTTTCCAGAATTTTTGAGTATAACTGCAATACCAGAACAGGTGGGCAAGGGTTTCAGTAAATTCCCCGCAGAAAGAACAGGAGTCTGCTTGTTTCAGGCCGATTTTAAAGAGGAAGTCGTTTGTTGCTATTCGCCTGTGGAGGAACATGAATTGGAACACTCGTAACTTTGTTTCTGTTGTACACAGAAAGGGAAAGCGGTATGTATTCTCCCATTTCACGTTCGCATTTCCTATTATATTTTCCTTAGACAGCCATTTTCCCTGGCTTTTAAGAGGGGTGGTGGCCTTTTTTTCGATAATTGATTTGTAAACGGTTTTACAGGCTTTTTCTGAGGCTAATAATGTTTGCCCAAAGGTCTTGGTTTTGGGTCCTCTGTTGGGTTGTCGAGAACACTTTTGCCTGAACAGTTTAACGGCTGATACTACCTTATAGAATTCTAGAAAGTTAGTCTTGATTTTATATTTAGCGGTGAATGCAGTATAGCTTAATATAGAATTTCTGTCCGTATCAAGGATTTTTGTTTCTTTATGTTTGTTTCGATTACGTTAGTTGGAATAATCGGTCAATAATAGAGAAATTAATTAAGCTTCACGTATACGGCAAACGGCAAACGTCAGATTCAAGTTGAGAATTTCTCAAAATAGAAAATGAGCAGATAAAAACAGCTCAAAACAATTCTTATGGATAAAAAATTGCGTGAAACTACTAATTTGTGTGTAGAAATAATGAACAGTGCGACAAGTAACGGGGAAACTTGGTCACGTGGTACAAATTCGCGTTTGCCGTTTAACGTCAGTGATGCTTAACCTCTCTAATTGCTTTAGTTAATAGCTCATCTAACTGCAGCTCCATATTGATAACTTTGAATGCTAGGTTTTTTGATCGCATGAATTACCACTAGCCTCAAGTTTTTAACACTTTAACTGGCTTTCCTGCTGCTTATTTGATTTTACATGCTGATAACCCCTGGGCCGTCGTCATTAATCCCAGGCTTCGAGGCCTAGGGGAGAGGGGGTTGCTGGGCCGGAAATTTGGGTAAAAACAGACCATTACCTTGTTTAGGAAAAAAAAATCGTTGCCCTTTTTCAGACGAGGCCTTCAGTATTTTATAACCCTGATTTCGTTTGGCATTCAGAATTGAGTAACTTTTAGCATCCTGAATTTAAATTTCGTTTTTGGAAATAACGCTTTTAATAGCACAAATGAAGACTGCGCAACACTAACCTTCACACTGCTTTTAGGGTTTCCATGTCCAAAAATATACTCTTTTCTAGATGCGAAACAGTAAAATTGTTCACCGGCACATACCAATTCAGACCAAATAAGGGAGTAAGGGGAGCCTCAGAGAGTTGATAGTCAAAACAACAGCACGACATCGCGACGTAATTGACCAATAATGGGTCAATACCATCAACTGACGCCTGACTGACGCAAAACACACTTTGCCTCTGAAGATGATTGCTGTACAGGTTATACAACCGGTAAAAAAAATTGAGAACAGACGAAAAAGTGTTGCTGTCTCAAGAACAAGCTACTTTAGCCGATGGAGGTCAGGTGACCTAATTTGCATAATTCAAAAGCACGAAATTAGCACAAACTAAAAATGTGTGCAGCTGGCAAAGTTTTATGTGTCTAAGTCTAAAGCTCTTAGATGTAGACCACCCCCTCA